TGTTTCATGTGGGACTGTAAAGGCCTATGTATATAGGGAGCTTGGGGTTTCTTTTCGATATGTGTTTCATGTGGGACTGTAAAAGCCTATGTATATAGGGAGCTTGGGGTTTCTTTTCGATATGTGTTTCATGTGGGACTGTAAAAGCCTATGTATATAGGGAGTCTTGGGGTTTCTTTTCGATATGTGTTTCATGTGGGACTGTAAAAGCCTATGTATATAGGGAGCTTGGGGTTTCTTTTCGTACAGGTGAAAGAACAGTTGAGAGGAAATGGATTATCAAAGACGGGTGTATTCTAAACGAAGATGTTTTTATAGTTCATTGAAAGATAGATTATCATCACTGTAGTAAAAACTATTTCTCAGAACAAGCAAAAGATTCACATTTTCCCTTGTGTGTGTTAGAGTAACAAAGATGTAAAATTATTTTGACAAACTATGGGCATTTATGTTGTTGTTTTTAACTAAGATTGAACTTAACTAACTAAATGTGTCTGAACGTTTTCTATTTAGGTTTTTTATATTTTATTGTTAAATAATAAAAAAATAAAGATGTGTATGACAGCTTTAATTACAAATTATTAACGGATATCCCAGTATCACCAAGTTTCTTTTGTACTTGTGAAAATATGATGAAGCTTCCATGGTGCTGTGCAGAAGCGATAGTTTATGCTTCCCAATAAACGTTTTTCATGAATATGGGTTTTATAAAGGTCTTCAAGTAGAACATAACTTTGGAGCAAGTAACTCATAAGTCACCATATCCGTCGAAAATAGCATTACACAAAAATAGTTTTATGCTGGTACACATCCAGTTCCATGACACCATATGGGCAAGAATACAGATAATTAAACAACTAGAAATGGGAACGTTGATGTATGCTGTTTCGTCCTGAACCTATTTCTAAACATCTATAACATACAGTTATTCAGAAGCAAATTTCTAGAGACACTATATACGAGAGTTTATTGGTCTAGTACAATGTAATACCACAGTTTTTGAGCACCTAAAGTTACTTTTTTCTTTTTTACAGCATTTTGTATCTAAAAAACACACACTGATCAATCAGGATGATACTGGTAAATGCATAATATCCTCTACTAAAAAAACCAAACTTCCAAATAATGTAAAAAAAGACATTAGGATATCTGAGTAAAAGTATTACCAGAGATAAAATTATTTTGGTCACACCTTTATTTAAGCGCTATGTAAGTCATATTTTTGTTCATAGAACACGTCACGTTGTAGAAGCTACACTCACAAAGAGGTTTAAGAAAATCGGTCTAATATATCATACCATAACGAGAAGAAAAATATCTCAATAAAGCGACTCTTGGAGAATGGGTAAAATTGCAACCATGGAACAGAAAAGTATAAACTTTAAATCTTGTAATGATAACGAACTGAAATAATCAAAGGTACATCTTTTAGGTTACTGGAACATAATAGTAAAGCGTGAATGATGTAAAGTCCAGTAAAGTAAGAATAAAATCAGTCCTCCCTAAAACATATGTCAGTTCCAATTTCAAGTACAATGTTAATATTAATAGTCACGATTAAGTGCTATTATCCGCTACCATATTTTCCATGAGTATGCGTTATTACCCACTACCATATTTTCCGTTGTATCAAGAGCTGAGCTTGGTTTAGTTCTTAGCGTTCTCGACTTGTGAATTCGAGGGTTCATGGCTCGCTTCCCGCTGCTATCCGCTGGGATCGTGGTTGCGTTATAAGAGAGGCTGTTAAATTCTACTCTTTAATTGAAAAGAGTTAATGGTGGATGATATCCAATAGCTGATTTCCCTTTAGTCTATCACTTTAAAATTAAAAACAGCTATGCGCAGATAGCCCTCATGTGTGTGTGTGTTAAAACGGAAATAAACAAATTCTTATAGCAAGTTTCAGTAAAAGACGTCAAAGTCAATAGTACACCAACATCTTAACATATTTTACACAGACTCTGCACTGTAGATGGCATCTGCTTCCAAGACCACGTTTAGGCAGACCAAAAACATAGAAGTCCATTTAAGGTTCATTGGAAGGTTTGAAATAAATATAGTCGAATGAGATTGCTGTGGTTCCAGTTTCTTCAGCCATATTTCTCGTGACTAGGTGTGGCTTGAAACTTGTGAACTTTTAGTTTGTTGTTAGCCTCAGCAGATTTCTAACCCTTCTTTACTGTTTTGTTCATGGGCTATTTCGTAACAACCATTCAATTTGCCATTAAGGATGTTGCTTTGGATTGTATTGGGTGCGGTTTCGGAATTCATTGCTGTTCTAAATGCATACATTTGGAAGATCCATTCTTCAGTTATTGTGTACTTTGGCTCAAAAGCGCGTATAGACAGACCAAATGCACAAACGTCCGTTAAAGGTTCATTGGTCTTGCTGTTTACATAGTTTCCTTCAGAGAGCGTTTTTTTATTACATACAAATCTATCTGTGTAGCATTGCACTGTGGAATTATTGGAAATTCGCTGCCGCTACACCTCACATCTGCAGCCACTCCAATTACACATGCAAATATAGGAAACAGTTTTTATAGCGTGTAATTAGTCTTTTGTATCATCTTTCCTTTCTGTATTTACTGTGTAACTAAACTTTCGTGTTTATAAGTGTTTACTTGAGGAATTAATTGACGGGGATCTGTTTGATATACATTCATTCATTCCTCTGAATATTTAGTGAAGGTCATTTTAGTTGTATTTGTCATTTTCAAATTTAAACAAATTTAAAACTCTTGGAAACCAAAAAATCACAAGGATATAATTTTCTGTATTCACTTTCAAAATGTTTAGTATGTATTAAAATTTAATTGATCAAATATATCCTTTTATCTCATGATTAAAAAAAGTGTGGAAAGTATTTTGGCAATATGTACATATACTATGCTTAATCTTAATAGATTTCATTATTTTTCTTATTAACAATGCCCCAGTGGCACAGCGGTATGTCTGCGAACTTACAATGCTAAAATCCGCGTTTCGATTCCCCTTGGTGGGCAGAGCACAGATGGCCCATTGTGTAGCTTTGTGCTTAATTACAAACAAAACTTCTTGATAATATTATTATTTTTAGCTTATATTATTCTACGTATCTGTTTTTCTTTTGAATATTCAAACTTTTATTTTCACTATTTACAAGATGAATAATTATACTGTTCAATCATTGTTATATTATAGTATTTAAACACTTAGAAGAAGAAAAATTACCGCTTTTAGTTACACACTCACCAATAACGTTTAAAGATACAACTCTGTTGAAGGTTCGACCATATCTGAAGTCAGTCCTACAGCGATACTCTCCATCGTCGACTTTCTCTACGGGGTTGATAGTCAGAACTGAAGGTTGGGTACGAGTGCCAGGATAAAAGTGTCCTCTTTTCCCCAGGAACTCACTTGTGAAGTGTTCAGAACTCTCTATTGGGCCGTTTCTGGAATCCACGCTAAAGATTGGAGCGCTGATCCCCGACTTGTACCACAACACCAACGACACAGAGTCGTCTACAGAAGGAACACTGACGTTGCAAAAAAGTTCAGCACGTTGACCAAGAACGGTTTGAAACACTGGGATATCTGTAAAATTAAATCAAAGAAGAAACTAATTTCGTTTGATAGAGTTTGTATATTTCTCGGTTTCACTCAAAGGATAATTAAAAACAAGAATGTTTCCTTCGACACGCGTGCTGGGTAAGCAGTGACACAAGTAACTGACAAAACAATGAATTGTGTGTGAAAGACGAGACTTTTCAAAGTTGTCAAGGAGCTCATACCATAATGCTGTTCTTCTTTGTTGAAGGCTAGCCGTCTCTAATTTTGAACTACTCTTTATCATTGAATAGTGGAATTGACCGTAACGTTATAATGCTCTCACGGCTGAAATGGAAAGCATGTTCCGCGATGGGTTTTGTAGATTGCGTGTCGAGTGCCCTAATCACCAGACCATGCAAGGAGGGCATACGGCAATGAACTTTAAATCAAGCTCGTGCGTGAGTCGGGTTTTAATTTATACACTCAAAAGTACGAAAATTTTCAGTCTTTTTCCTTCTTGGAATTTGGGCAAATTTTGAAAGATGAAAAAATGCATGTTCAAAGTCATTCTACAGGTTATGATAACCGCAAACAGTGTAACATGTAAAACGGTAAGAGGGCTTCTACTGAAGGATGGCATTAAATATATAAGACATAATTCAACAGTAAGAGGGTTTTTTCTATAGGATGGCATTAAATATATAAGACATAATTCAACAGTAAGAGGGTTTTTTCTATAGGATGCCATTAAATATATAAGACATAATTCAACAGTAAGAGGGTTTTTTCTATAGAATGCCATCAAATGTATAAGACATAATTCAATGGTAAGAGGGCTTCTTCTATAGGATGACATTAAATGTATAAGACATCATTCAACGGAAAGAGGGCTTCTTCTATAGGATGACATTAAATGTATAAGACATAATTCAATGGTAGGAGGGCTTCTTCTATATGATGACATTAAATGTATAAGACATCATTCAACAGAAAGAGGGCTTCTTCTATAGAATGACATTAAATGTATAAGACATAATTCAACGTTAGGAGGGTTTTTTCTATAGGATGACATTAAATGTATAAGACATAATTCAACGGTAAGAGTGCTTCTTCTATATGATGACATTAAATGTATAAAACATCATTCAACAGAAAGAGGGTTCTTCTATAGAATGACATTAAATGTATAAGACATAATTCAACAGTAAGAGGGCTTCTTCTATAGGATGACATTAAATGTATAAGACATAATTCAACAGTAAGAGGGCTTCTTCTATAGGATGACATTAAATGTATAAGACATCATTCAACGGAAAGAGGGCTTCTTCTATTGAATGACATTAAGTGTATAAGACATAATTCAATGGAAAGAGGGCTTCTTCTATAGGATGACATTAAATGTATAAGACATAATTCAATAGTAAGAGGGTTTCTTCTATAGGATGACATTAAATGTATAAGACATAATTCAACGGTAAGAGTGCTTCTTCTATAGGATGACATTAAATGTATAAGACATAATTCAATAGTAAG